AAGTAAAAGAAGTGAGGGATTAAATATAGAGATGAGAGAGAGAAAGTGGACAGAGGGGAAGAGACAGAGAGGAAGACAGCCATCCAGACACTGGAGAGAGAACTGGAACTGGTGGAGGAGAAACAAATCTTGAAAACAAGCTGAGACAACAACACAGTAAGGAGACTCCAGAGAAGAATGACTCTCTCCTTCTTTAATAGTTCTCAAGCACTGTTCCCAACAGTTTTTATCACGTATTCTCTTGTGCTCTTTAATGGTCTACGTACATAGGTCCTACCTCTCATATAAAGCTGCAGCTTTAGGAAGCTTCTAAAGAAGTTTATAGTTTTTTAATGTTCTAAATAGCATCTAGCACAGTGCTGTGCATATAGAGGACACTCAATAAATACTTGTTGAGATGATCTAAAGAGTGAGTCAAAGTGAGGTTCAGATTCAGAGATGAGTATTAGCTGGAAGGAAAATAGGTAGTATTGACACACTTAGGCAACAGAGTTGCCACTGCACATTGAAAACAGAATGATCCTTTCTATACCAGAGAAAAACCAGTCTTTCTTTTTATTTTCAAATGTAAGTTTGAAAATGTTAATTCTTTCATTCTTTCAAGACCTTTTAAAGTTTTCACGTATCTTAAAGAATGGCTCTAGTTTTGGAATTTGGAATCTCAATGATACTGCTTAATTTACTGGGTATTCATGAAAATTTCTTTGATATTAAAAAATTTTCAGACTGCTTTGTATCTTTATCCCTGAGAAATTAGGGTTGCTTTATTACGGAATTCTGAAAAGTTACATTTTAGAAAGAGAACTCAGTTCTAAGCACTTTACAAAATCCAATTCAAATCTATTTGTTATAGTCTATTTCAGAGGCTTTAAATCCTCCCTCCCTCCCCCCCTCCCCCTTCTTCCCTTTTCTTCCCTTCCAATTTTTTTTCTTTTCTTTCCCTTCCTCCCTCCCTGCCTTCTTCCTTTCCCTCCTTCTCTCCTTCCTTCTTTTCTTTTGGCCCAAGGGTTCCAAAGAGGGGGCTTCAGGTCAGAGTAGGAGGTGTCAGAGACCTGCCAGTAGTCAGGCTCTGGGCTGGGACATCTCCACCTCAATAACAGCAGTCTGCTTTTATTTGCATGACATTTCTTTTGAAAAAATTCGAAAACCATGGTTGAGAGGTGACAATATAGAATGAGAACAGTAATAAAAAGCTCTTAAAGAACTGGTAACATTTATTCCCTGCTTTTCATCTGCTCTTTAGAGGCTGCTCCATGAATTGAGCTGGGGAGTCATGTGAACATGGGACAGTGATAAGGACTGGATAGAGTCTTATCCCTCATTCATCCACCTTTACCACCCTTTCCTATTTATATTCCATGCTAATAGGGTCACCAATGGGCGTAGGGACTCAGATCCATTTAAAATATTTAATTTTGTAAGGGAATTTCTGGGAATACTGCTCTAGAAATGGATTTTCTTTACATCTGGACTTTAGAGTTTAGGAAAGAATCCTATCTTCTTTTTCAAAAAGAGACTGAAAGCACAAGGTATAAGGATGGGGAGTTAGACTTATCAGAGGACAGGACAGGTGGGGAGGAGTTGCTGAGACCTAATATGAGGCCCATTTGTTATTTCAGCTTCTTTGAGGATGAAGGTTTAAAGAGAGAACAAGAGAATTCACAGAGAGGGTAACTTCCAATCAAGCAATGGTGAGAACCAGAGGTCCCAGGTGAAAAAGTGGGTGTTCTAACAGTTGGGCTGAGCCCAGTAATGGGACATCTCAATTGATGCTTGTAAGGTTAGACAGGTGGGCAGGCAGTGGCATCAAGAAGGTCCACCAATGGGGTCCTTAGCTGGTAGACTAATGTTTAGGGGCAGAGCGTTTGGCCCTGAGACTGGAAAGATCTAGGCAGGATTTTAGTTCTTCTGTAATTAATTGGAGCTTTGGCAGCTTATTGGTGTGGGTTCCTAAAATGGAGAACAAAACAAAATTCTCATCCTATAAACAGGAAATTTATTATTTCCTATGAAAACTGGGTCTTTGGAGCTTGAGGGCAAGGACCTCATTATCAGAATAGAGAAGTAGACAGGGGGTTGCACTGCACCAGAAGAACTTGGGAGCTGGGAAGTAAGTACTACGATCCCACGTCAGGGATCATCAAACTGGGAGAATGATTCTAGTGGAGAGATCATGGGTCAAGACGTGAGGGAAGGCAAAGTCACGTAAAATGAGGCTGGGGTAGAGAATGTTGAGAGAAGTCAAAGGTATGCTGTCACTTTAGGGGTTTTTTCACAACAGATAACGGTCATACATTCTTGAACCTAAAGACCAGAGCTGAGTAATTCTATTGGTTGTTTAAATCTGGCAAAAGAATAACTAAATAATTTGAACTCTAAGACATGTGGCCTACTACTAATCTCTGACAAAAACTGTAAACAGAGAAGGGAGTTGCTATAAACATAGCTAGCTGATTCTTTTGGTGCATATTTTTAGTTAAGTAAACTGATGGTCTTTGGTCACGTCCTTACATTTTATTTTGCAGTCCTCGCAGGTGCTGGAGTTGGTGTCTAGAGGGATGCACTCCAACTAAAGGTTATTGAAGAAGTTGGGCTTTTAGCCTCATAAAGACCTGGGAAGACAGTTCAGAGAAGGAAAACTGGGAAGTATGAAGAGGGCTTTGCATTTTATTTTCCAGATAATAGTCCTTGGATACAAATCCTTTTATTTTTATTTGTCAGCACTGAGAGTTTGCTTTAGTTTGGTGGTACAAATAATTCAAAGGTTGCTGTTAGCAATCCTTGGATCCTAAAAATACCTATATGTTTTTGGCATATAGAAATCAGAGCTTTTTAAGACTGGAAGGGATTTTAAGATCATCAAAATTAAATTGCTTCATTTTACAATTGAAAACACTGAGGCCTGTAAAAGTTATGTGACTTGCTTAATGCTGGACATGAATGGTTGGGCCAGGACTAGAAATGATGAAATGGATTTCTAGTCCGCTACTATTTCCATTACCATGCCTATGCTATCTCAGATGACAACCCAAGCTTTTAAAACAACAACAACTTTATTTATTTATTTATTAACAACAACTTTAATCTGAATTTATTCTGATTTTCAAAGCAATTTATTATTTCCTATGACAATTTATAATGGGCATTTCAGTGATGCTGCTACTAGTTTGTCATGCCCTTCTGTACAAGCTCAAAATGTATCCATCAAGTTTCCTATTTTAATCTTTGATTGGTAATGATGAGTTCTGTTTATTTTTAAATACATTTTAAAATGTATTTGCTGAGTTCTGTTGAAATGAGATTTTTTTAAATATTCAATTGTCATGGTGGAAAAAAGATCCCTTGGATTTTTATCTTTTAGGGCAAGCATTTGACTAATCAACTTGAAAACTCTATTAAATATTTTTTCCTTTACCCAAGAGGCAGACAAGGAAAGGGAATTCTGGTCTTTTTTCATCTTGGTCAAATTCTTGTGCTGATTTCTCTGTGATTTCTGCTATGCATTGTGAACTATGACCATATATGAAAATAATCTGTTTTAGGTCATGGCTGTGGGCAAAGATTAATTGGTGAAAAATGGGCCTGTTTGTGGGATTTACCACACAGTAAGGTTTCAGATCTCCCTGGAAAAATGTGGAATTAGCTCTTTGAGAAATGAAGTTCTGTCATGAGGTTGAAGGGAGAGTTTTGGTGGAGGGAAACACAGTTCACTCTCTAAGGCGTTATGATTGGTTAGATTCCAGAGCAGTCCCTTCGGTACAGCAAAGTTCTTCCCGCTTTCAAGTCAGCGTTTCCCACACGTAGCTAGTTTCACCAGTAATTCACAGATAGCATCTTACTTGGCTTCTTTCATGGCCAACTGATCCAAACTGGGCAATGGTCTTGGAGAGAACTCCTAATCCGCCCATTCCCCATCTCTAGAACATGTAGTTACAGTGAAAAAGCCTTCCATGGGGAAAGAACTTTTCGACAGCAGATTTTCTATGCTCCTTGAGACGGATGCAGATGTCACCCAGTGCGTATGTTTGACAAGGACGCAGGGAGGATGGAACGGTAGTTCCTTCCCTATAAAGATGGTTCTTGAGGAAGACAATCTCGGTAGTATCTACTAGGATGCTCCCAGACAGCGCTCCACGTGCATGCTCCTCCCTAAAAGCCATTGCAAGGGCCTGCTGCGTGGCCCAAGAATCCACGTTGCTGTTGAGGTCAGACCTAGCCACAGTGATCAAGGTTTCTTCCCCATGACCTTGGTGGTGGCTGGCCCTTTACCAGGTCACAGCTCGGCTCGGACAGTCCAAGGGTCCACCCTAAACTGGGATAAGGGTAGAGGCACGACCCGCCGCCTCCCCCCCCTCAACTCGGTTTCTCTACTAGACACTCCCCTTGGGAACCGTAAACATCCTCTTTCCCTACGCCCCGGTGGTGAGCCTGCCTGGGGTCCGTGACTTACCCCCAAAGGGAACCTGCGCGCCTGGGGTCCCAGGATGGCGGGCTTGCCCCCTTCCACCCGAAAAGGACTCCTCCCGTCTCTCCCAGCCCGGGCGGGTCTTCGGGCGGCCGCGGCCGCGCTCTCCCCAGTCTGGGGACACTTAGTCGGCTGGGGTCCCCAGCTCACTTCCCGGAGGGCGGGCGGCCGGCAGTGCGAACTGCGGAGCGGGTGGCGGCGGGACTGGCCGGGGCGCGGGCGCGCGCGGGCGGCTGGCGGCGGGCGGGGCGCGCGCCCGGCCCGGACAGCCGCGGGGGAGGAGCGCCCGCCAGCCGATCGCGCGCCCAACGGACTAGGCTAAAGCCGTGAGGTAACTGTTGCAGCCCGCGGGAGCTGAGAGGCAACACTGAGGCTCCAGTCCCGAGAAGTGCCCGAGGGAAAAGGAGGGGGTCCTGCCGCAGCGGTCCCAGGCAGAAGCCCCTTCCGCCCCTCTCCTCAGCCAGCATGTCGCGGACCCCGCCGCTCCTCCGCCCGCGCGGCGGGGACCCTGGGCCACGGCGGTGGGCGCAGCCCTGACGCGCTGCCGAGCCGGGGGGCTCCTCGAGCGCGGGGGCCAGGCGGGAAGGAGCGCGAGCTGCAGCTGCGGTCCGAGCGGGGCGTGCCGAGCCCCTGCGGCCACCCCGCGTCCCGGCCATGAGGAGGGACGAGCGAGACGCCAAAGCCATGCGGTACCCGCAGCCGCCGGACGGGGCCGGCTCGCCCCTCGAGAGTCTGAGGAACGGCTACGTGAAGGGCTGCGTGAGCCCCCTGCGGCAGGACCCCCCGCGCGGCTTCTTCTTCCACCTCTGCCGCTTCTGCAACGTGGAGCTGTTGCTGCCGCCGCCGCCGGCCTCCCCCCAGCAGCCGCGGCGCGGCTCTCCCTTCTCCCGGGCGCGCCTCTCGCTGGGCGCCCTGGCCGCCTTTGTCCTCGCCCTGCTGCTCGGCTCGGGGCCCGAGAGCTGGGCTGTCGGGGCCGCCCGGCTGCGGACCCTGCTGAGCGTCTGCTCGCACAGCCTCAGCCCCCTCTTCAGCATCGCCTGTGCCTTCTTCTTCCTCACCTGCTTCCTGACCCGGACCAAGCGGGACCCCGGGCCGGGCCGGAGCGGTGGCGGCTCCTGGTGGCTGCTGGCGCTGCCCGCCTGCTGTTACCTGGGGGACTTCTTGGTGGGGCAGTGGGGGTCTTGGTCTTGGGGGGACGGAGACGCCGGGGCCCGGGCCCCGCACACGACCCCGGCGGTGGCCGGCAGGCTGTTCTTGGTGCTGAGCTGCGTGGGATTGCTGACGCTCGCGCAGCCGGGGAGGCTCCGGCACAGCATCCTGGTGCTGCTCTTCTCCGGCTTCGTCTGGTGGGTGTCCTTCACCAGCCTCGGGGCACTGCCTCCAGCCCTCCGGCCGCTGCTTTCCTGCCTGGTGGGGGGCGTCGGCTGCCTGCTGGCCCTGGGGCTGGATCACTTCTTCCAAATCAGGGAAGCTCCCCATCATCCTCGGTTGTCCAGTACCGCGGAGGAAAAAGTGCCTGTGATCAGACCCCGGAGGAGGTCCAGCTGCGTGTCGTTCGGAGAAACTTCAGCCAGTTCCTATGGCAGTTGCAGAATGTTCAGGAGACCTTCATTGCCTTGCATTTCGAGAGAACAGGTATGTTACCAGAAAGCAAAGTTTGGTAAGGAAGGGAGGGAGATTTTATCGCTTCAGTTCCCGAGTTGAATTAGCGTGTTTGAAAGCATGTTTACTTTCATGGTGAAAAAAAGACAATTTTTATTCTGAAAAGAATTCCTAAAATACAGGAAGCTTTAAAAAAAATGCATAAGTACCATTTATCTTTGAATAGAAATGAAATAGCAGACTAAGCATGTCTCACTTTTTAAAGAGTTTGTTAATGTAGTAGATGAGTTCTCAGAAGAATGAAGTGAATTATTTGAAGTATAATAGATTGACTACTCCTACTTTGGCATAGTCTGATGTGTAGCTTTTTGGTGACATTTATCTGTTGCTGTTATAATGGTGATGTCTCCCCAAAGATAGCGTACAGCCATTAGAATGAGTGGAGAAAAAATATATATATATGCATTCTAATCAGTGTGGTTTCATTATTCTTGATAATTGAGAGGACAAATCTGAGATCTCATAATAAAAAGAGAAAACAGTGGTGAGTTTTGGAAGAGACTTGTTAATTTAGATAAAAAGACTGTTGGAGATAATTATAAGAGATTTCTCCCCCACCCTCCACCCCAAATTTCAGCAGTGTAGGCTAATATAATCTTTTACAGACTAACTCATGGTCCTGTGTGTTTGTTGCATAATTAGGAGAATGTTGTAACAGTTTAACCTTTAAACTTAGTAATGTTTGGAACTATGCCAAAAGCATTGGTACAATTTCTTTTCCTGTAGGTTTATGTGCTTTTGCGTTTTAAAAAATGGAAATCATCATTAGGGAAAGAGTGTCTATTTTTGTATAGCCTAGGGAAATCTTACATGTTCTACATCACTAAGAAACTCATCAAGTATAGCTGCTGTTCACAGAGCATTTACTAAGTGCAAAATCCTTATATTGTCTTAAACCCTCACAAGGACTCTGTATGGTAGGTGACATTAACCTCAAGTTAGAGATGAGCAAATTGAGGCTTATAGAGATTATCCAACTTCACACATTTAGTAAGTGGCAGTGCTGGGATCTGAACCTAGATTTTTCAGTTTTCAATGATGTCTTCTAAGCAACTAAAAGGATGAGTGTAGAGGTTTTCCTTAAGTAGGAGAGTAAGAGTCTATACTATTGGTTTTCAATCTTTTCGATTAGTGATATGCTTTACACCAGCGACCCAATATATTTGAAACAGAAGTTTCTTATTACTACATCTGATGCTCTTTGCTCTTCAATATAATCTACAAGCTATTACACTATCCGTAGTGCTCAAAGAGACAACACCTTGCTCTCTGAAAAGTGTTTTCAGAGGCTGCTTTGTGGTCTGTAGTTATTTGGCCAAATGCTTGAAAAAAATTGTTCAAAAAATATCATGGCTTTTGTTTTCTCAGTTTACTGCCAGTGATAATAGACAATGCTCAGAATAATGTGTATCAAGAGAAAAATTGTCAGGAGAAGATTCACTGTAGAGCAGAGTCATATCAGCTATTTTCATAGACTGGAACAGCGTTTGACATTTGACTATTTGCAAATATATTGTATTTTTTAACACCAGGAAAGTGTTTTAGCACAGTTTCATCACATTTGTAAACAATTTTCCTGAGCTTAGCAGCGTTACAGTTTAACGTAACTTAATTGCAATATGTTGGCCTAGTGAATTATGGGTGTTATCTTATAAATTGAAAACTCCTGATCTACTTGATCCTGGTCTGGTTCTCTTTCCATCACAGCAACCTTTTTTCAGCCGTTAACTAGGTGCGGCATTGTTATGCTAGGTAGCTTTATTAGTTGTATTAGAGGAAAATATTGTGCTTTTAAAAAGGGCATATTTTATTAGTGCAGAAAACCCTTATTCACATTCCACTATGAATAGGAACATTTTCTTGGTGGAGGGGGTCTTAAATATATGCTGATAGTTCAAGGGTTTATACATGGTTAATGTTCAGTGTCATAACATAATACTCTTTCGGCAATACTAGAAACTACTAGATATTTTTAGCTTGGCAGAGGCTGTAATAAAAATTTTTACTTATGCTTTTTCCTGAAGTTTAACAGTGGATCTGTGGTTTTGTTTGGAGGTATGTTATGTGAAAGAAATTAAGTGGAAACCAATACTTTTATGGAAGTAAAAGATCAAGAGATTTTCTAATTTTCAAAGTGCTAAACTTTGTATGTGATAATTGTAAAGTCACTCTCTTGTTTCAGAAAGTGAAGGGAGACAAACGGTTTTGGGTAGAAGCTGATATAGGGGAAAGTCTCCTGGATTCATAGAGGTTCAAGGGTAAAGTCTTAGCCCTGCCGTCATATTGGAAAAGTTGGTGAGCCTTTCCGAGTCTGAGTATCCTGTCAAATCAGGGGATCCAGTAGGTGAATTCTATACCACCTTCCAATTCTAGAATTCATTTCTTTTAGTTAGTTTACACTTTTTGTAAGGTATAAATAAATGTATGACTAAAACTTCAAAAGTTAATAGATCTTGAAGTTTTACTTAAATGTTTAATGTTGATATTGCTAGCCTATATTTTCCAAGGTGTGATAATTGGAAAGTATGAACAAATATTCTGTATTATTTGAAGAGAAAGAACTTTTAACACGTATATGTGGACTTTCATTTGTGGGTTGATAAAATTATTACGCTTTCATTTCCTTAAGAATTTAAACGTTTTTATTAACATCTTTGAAAAACAATTGAAAACTCATATTAATATAAATGTTTTTAATTGTGTGAGAGTAGATTCAAAGTAATTTTTAACATTTGGGATGTTATGTTAGATACTGTATTGAAAAATAGTGGCATATGTTTGTAAAACGTATGGTTTTTCATAATTAGGTTTAAAGTTTAGTTACTGCTGACTGTGTTCTACCTTGGTGGGTTAATGGAAAGAAGCACTAAGTTTGTAGTATATTTGTGAAGAATCAGCTGAGACTAATAGGAAGTAAAAAAAATTGTTTACATCTACATGAGATGCCTTGGCCTGAATTTAACAAGCTACATTTCTATGTCATTTTAATTATACATTCTACAATGCAAATTTCGGCTGTCAACCAGATCATTTCATGTGTGATAGGCTAGGTAAATATAAGGTTTTGAAAGGCATAAGTCTGTGTGTGAGATATTTTTCTATACCTAAAATGCTGAGTGCTTTCTAAATGGTTAGGTAAATATTTAAAAATTCTGTGGCCTTAAAGCCCATAAATATTATTTAAAGTGTTAATTTTGTTTAATAAAGGATACGCATGTAGTATGAAGCCTTTTTAAAAAGATTTTAAAGTTTAAGTGATTATTTATTCCCCTAAGGAATCTGCAAGTCATAACCCACCATGAATTTTTTAAAGAATACTGTGGAATTTGTGAAATTTAATGAGTGAGTGTTTTATTCTAATTTCATGTTAATATTTTGTAGTGAAACATCAGCCTACGTAATATTTTTATGCTCTATTTTGTAAATATTGTATGTACCCTTGCCATCAGAGTTATCTTCCAAAAACACAGATTTGATCAAATCACTCGCTCTGTTTTAAAAATCTCTTACGGCTTTTCATTGTCCACAAAATAAAGTTCATGCCCTTGACCCTTGCTTGCAAAGTCTTACCCTGCTCTTGGCCTTGTTTTGTTGTTTTTGAAAGCCGTTAGCAGTTATGGAACACCTCCCCACATCCATCCACCGCTCTAGCTATTTGAGGACTGCTTATTGTTACTGACGTGTAGACTTTTTTCTTTTGATTTTACCATTCACACTGTTTGAAATCTCCTTTAAGAAACATATAAGATTAAGAAGTGTTTAGACACTACAGTGATGCTCAGACTAATGTATAAGCTGAGAACAAAACTCCATCCTAGTAGAGTTGGCCGGGTTTAAAAATAAAAGTTGACAAATCATGTCAAGCAGTGATGTGGTGATGTGTGATAGAATATTTTCATTATACCACATGAAATAGTAACATCTCCATAGTTTGTTTTCCCACAGTGAGTGGAAGGTAAATAGGGCCAACCATAAGTAAAACTTTGACTTTAGTATAGTTTAGTGATGTTTGTTTTCATTGTCCTCTGATTTTTAAATCCTCCTCAGTGGCAGGCGCTTCTCTGATTCTCTTTCCTTCTTCCCTTTCAGTTACCAAGTCAGCCTGTTTCCCTAGCGCATTCTCCTGCCTTCTTATACCCCACCCAAAGCAGGAAGAATCTATACTTGCTGAAAAAGTTTATTTCAACATAAATATGTTTGTATAGATATAGAAGAAATAGAAGAGATTTGGAGTTTATCTAATTGAAATCTGCTCGTTTTATAGAAAGGAAAAAAATTCAATTCCAGAGAGAGAAGAATATTGTCTCTAGGTTATGCCACGAGGTTTGGGGATACAGGGACTAGAACCTAGGTCTTGACTCCTAGTTCAGCTGTACTTTCCATTAAGAGCATATGCACCTGCAGTCATAGTTTTCCAAGGCTGTTCTTAATTTGCCAGATATCTCTAATTATGTGATAAACAATGCCCCTGAGTAAAAGCAGTTGAGGGTGGTGGTGGAAGAGAGGGGAGTGAGAGGTAGGAGGTACTCTTGAAATCACATAGTTCATGATGACCTTGAAGATAAACTTGGTACCTGATATCATTATTTCAGGGTGACTTGTCAGGATGCAGCTGGTCTGAAACTCAGGTGCCTTAAGAGGCCAGCCACACAGCCTATTTATGTTATACGTTGGGGAAGGAGGGGGGTAAGGAAGAATGGAAGTGAACTGTTGCCTACTTTGCCTAAGGGCTTTCAGTTTAAATAAAACAAACTGAACAACCTTGTTAGCCAAGCAAAACTTTAGAAGAGCTGGGTTCTGTCCGTGGGTAGTTCCTGACAGTTTATAACTGTATATAATTGTGTATAAACAATTATAGTTTATAATAATTATAATTATTATATTTGTTTAATTATATATTTAAATACATAATATTTTTATTATATTTTATTATTAAGTTTATTATAATTATAATAGTTTATAATTGTTCACCT